GTTGCGGTGACCGTATAACCTGTGTCTCCCGAGTGGCGCAGTGGTCTAAGGCACTGCATCGCAGTGCTAGCTGTGCTACTAGAGATCCTGGTTCTAATCCAGGCTCTGTCGTAGCCGACCGGGAGACCCATGGGGCGGCGCACAATTGGCCCAGGGTAGGGGAGGGAATGGCCGGCAGGGATGTAGCTCAGTTGGTAGAGCATGGCGTTTGCAACGGCAGAGTTGTGGGTTCGATTCCCATGGGGGGCCAGTATTTAAAAAAAACGATATATGCACTCACTAACTAAATGTAACCACCACACCGGTTGTCACGAGTCATGAAGGCAGTCAAATTCTACGTGACTGTTTAGTCATGGTAATTAGGCTTCTCCAAGCTCTGATGCTGCTGATGGTCATTATAGCCTACCAAACTTGCTAACTGCCTGGTACTCAGCACTCTATTGTCCCACTAATCACTCTGACATCAATGCAAATGTTTTCGAAAATCGAATCAAACACTTAATGAGAGCACATGAGCTCATGTTGCGCAACATTCCTATAGGCTATGCAATTGCGTGAGAAAACAGAGTGATGGCCTCTACTAAAAAGAGGAGGATCCCATCAGCTTTCTATAGGCTAGGCCTACTATATTTATTTCTCAACTTTCCTAATATTAAGCACATTGCTTTTCTTTACAACAGGAGTATAGCCTACCTGGCTGGCATGAAAATGAATCACAGGAAAAGCGTCCTCCATCCGCTATTTAAGTGCATAGATGACATGTATTTTTTCCCGCTGCCCCTGTTTCGAGACAGGTGCATGATAATGGTCCATTCTAAATCAAACAAATTTCACACATATATGATTTAGTATATGTAAAGATTAAATAAAAAATAGTCTGATGGGTGACAATATTAGCCTATCACTTGTGAATTATATATTACCACTTGTGAAGGATGCCCAGCATAAGAAATTTACTTTATTTTGCGACTTTTTCAAATCATAGTCGCACACCTCATGTAGCCTAGCCCATAGGCCTATATGTTTTAATAAGGTTTGTATCACAACTAAAGAGCCTAACAGGCATACATAACCAGCGCGTGAGTTTCAAGTTTGGGGAAGATAATTTTCACCATAAAAATGCACTTTTATATAATAAAAGCATTACATGCATAATCGGATTTGCGCTCACTTTTGATAATGGTGTTTTCCTGCTAATGGAACATTCCCGCTTATAGTCTACTGCCATGTGCACATTGTTGCACTCATAATGTGAAGAAATAGCCTAATAGTTTATCAACATTTTAAGCTAAACGTTCTGATCTGTTGTGTCAGCCACATTGCGTAAAATGTTTGGGGGATGCTAGTGGTTATATTAATTTGGGATCTATTGCATCCCACAACTGTCCCAGACTATGTTTGGAATATTTATTTCTCGCACAGAATAGGTCAACTTTTGGACTATGGGGGATAGTAGATTGTCATAGGCTAGTGCTTTTGCTGTTCGTTAGGCCTACTCAACTTGTTAGCTGACGAAAAGTAAATGTGGACAGTTCTTCCAATAACTTCAATATGCACCTCGGAATTGGATAATGACACGGACAGTTGCGTCCCCGATGTGTCTGTCTTCGCTTGTAGCCTATGAGAAAGACCCGATCACGTGATGGAGAGAGTGCAGCACTCAGGGAGAAAGGCACAACAAAGGCTTGGATTGTTTTAGGGTGCATTATGGCCACAAAGGGGATGTCACCGTGAAATTCGAGGTATTATCAAGTGCTTGTCAAATTGTGAATGAGATACTAATGAAGTGTGTACAGCCTGTGCAAAAAACAAAGCAGAGCTCATGCCTTTCAAGCAACTTTTTTCAAATCATCATTAGTCGCATCATGCAGCCTTAAAATGTATTAAAAATCAAAACATATAGCCCAACGTTTGTAGAACAACTAAAGTTACATTAATAACTCTAAATTAAGCAAATAGGAGTACCTATTTATTTGTGCATGTGCACACTCCCTCAAATCGCTTGGAGAAAATATTTATACTTTATTCAGCTTTGTTCAATTGTATTCTTCATACTATAAAATAATGCTACAGAATTCTAAGCAAATCTTGTCTGCTAAATGAACTAGTGTAGCCCACAGCCATTTGGCATAGCCACATCAGGACAACACAGAGTATGCTATTCTGTACACACTTCACTGTCGATGTTATCATGCTTCTTTAGACCTGTCTAAAATAAATAATGGATTTATTAGACTTTTTAAAATGTAGATGTTCCAAAGGTCTGCATCAGTGGCTTGTAGGCTATGGGTGGAAGCCAGGAGATGCTAAATGTGTTTATGTTAATTAACGGTTAATTACTAACAGTTATTTGCTTGACAATCACCGGCTGACGAAATTTCATGACCGCCACAGCCCTAGACCGGACCAACCACAGTTACAGTCTCGTTCTGCTTCAGCGGCTGTATTGTATTCAGAGGAAAGAAATGTGTTTTAGTGATGGCCTAAGAGGACGTACTATTGCATCCATGCATCTCAACCATAACATAGGCCTACATCTGTTATTGATGCCTAACATTGACCTATTAACTATGGATCTGTGGGCCAGTGTCTTGATTAGTAGTGTTATTGAAAGCTCTCCTGTCGATGTTATCTCAGAACTGCATTAACAGAGCTGAGCTGTGGAGAGGAAGTGGCTGTATGACTTGGCAGGCTGAGGTGACTGCAGGAGACCTGATCTGTGAAAACACGCCTGCTGTCTGTCTGCACTGTGACTGTTCTTTACTAGAGGAAGAGGGAGTTGGGCCAGTCAGTCAGTTAGTGGGGTTCTGATGGCTGATGTTACTGGTGTTGCCAGACCTGGTGGAAGAATCAGAGGAAGCTCTTTGGGGAGAGGCCACAAGTTGGCTGTTAGGATCGGAACATTGGCCTAGTGTTGAAAGAGGGGCGAGAGATGGGAGGGTGAGGGGGGAGAGAGAGGGAGAGGGGGAGAGAGAGGGAGAGGAGAGAGGATAGGGATAGGGGGGGGGGAGAGAGGGAGAGAAGATAGAGGGTGGGATACGTATGTGGTTCGAGGGCTGTGCGCGGTGTGGCTCTCCCTTTGTCGTTCGAGCTCTCTTGTTTTTGCTTTCTGCTTTCTTCTTTCTCTTTCTTTCTCGTTCTGTTTTTTCTCTCTCTCTCTCTCTCTCTCTCTGCCCGCTGTTTTTCTTCGTTTTCTCTTTCTCGTTTTCACGTTCTCGCTCCGCGCTCCCTCTGCTCTCCTTTTTTGCGTATTCGCGTTTCTTCAGTTCTTTCTTGCGTGCTTGTTTACTCTTTACTGTTCTCTTTTGTTGGTCTCTACTCTTTTTCTGTCGTTCCTGCTCCGTTTATTCTGGTTCTTTCTGTGGGTCTCTTCTCTCTTTTTGTTCTTTCCTTTTCTTCTCTGTTTTGCGTTTTCTTTTCTTCTTCTTTTTGTGTCCTGCGTCTTCCTTTTCTTTCTCTTCTCTCTCTCGCCTTTTTTTCTCCCTTCAGCTCATTCATTAGGTTCGTTTTTAGGTCTTGGGCTTGCAGCATGTATAAGGGTTGTATTAAACTGAAAAGGTTTTTTTGGGTTGTAGATTTGCATGAGGGGCATAATCCTTAGCTGGGAGCTTGGGTATCCCGTTTAGTCTGTTGCTCGGGCCTGATTTATGATTCACCCCGTTATCAAGCCATATCGCCTGGAACTGACTGGAAGTTGTAAATTTGCTCTGTGCTTTTGTGTTTGTGTTGTTGTGTTGTGTGTGTAAACATTTTGGGGTGTGTTGTGTGTGGTGTGTGTGTGTGTGTGTCGCATGTGTACTGTACATTGTGATGTATGGAGTGTGAGCGGTATTGGTGTCTAGTATCAACTTTGTAATATTGATACATGCTACAGTGTGACATTTCACAGGAACCGTTTGCATTTGCTATGGATAATGACATATACCTAGTAAGCGCTAAAACCACTGTGTGGAGAGGCATTCAGAAAGTCAGGTCGTGGAGCTGTTGTCTCAGATTTCCCCTGACATTCCGTGTGGCACATCTTCAATTTCTTAATTCCCATGCTGTCGATAACTGTCAACATTTACTATATGCACATGCCAAACAAAGTCTACAAAAGATAATGACACAGTATGTATTTGTACAGAAACAACAAGGACATTCAGTTCAAGCGGCAGCCTCTAAAGGGAAAGTCCAAACCCATGTCATGTGAGGTTTTTGAGGAGAGGATCATAGCGAAGTGCCAACAGAATGAGGCACAGTGAGGTGTGACTGTACTATTGACTGTGATCACAGTCGCACCACATTAGATAATGGGTTCTGATATAATCTGTCGGTGGGCGTTGTCAAACACACAAGCAGCAATTATCCTGCTAACATTTTATATCTTAATCACTGTTTCATAAGACAGGGAATCAAAACATGACTGTTGAAATAGTTATCTTGCACGTATCCATCTTTAGAAACAACCTTCTTTTTATCCACCGCTGAGCCCTCGCTGGCAAACCCTCTGTGAGAATCTCCACCAGGCTTCATCTTCCTGATTGCTCCAGATTATGTGAGGATTACGGATCGTGAAAGCAGAGGTGTCAAGCACAGATCAGCAGTTTACACAACCTCAACTTTGCCTTAACCCACTCACAATCTAAACTTACAAATATTACATAACAAAACCATTAACCTTCATAACTCAATCCTTGATTGGGGACTACTTGAAATTTGGTTGAGTTCTGGTTCAAGTTGAGTTCCTTCTGGTGAGTCTAAAAACAGGCTGTTGATCATGAGATCATAATGTGGCAAAGTGGGCCTGTCGTCATGGTGATGAGGAAGTGATACTGTAGTGCCTCTCAGAGCCCCTGCAGGTTAGGTTGAGGGTCCTACGTGTGAGTCAGATGAACAGAACGGCTGTGATCAATGAGA